ATTCCAGACAATTCAAAATAAACATCATTTAACAAATCCGTTATTTATATTATTTGTAATTACTGCCATCAAACTTGAGCAAATGAGTTTTATTTAGTAAAAACTCATTCTGTTACAGTAAATGTGGCCTTGATCATTTCAATATAAGCTGTACATTGTTTTACAATTCTCTGAGTCGCGTATCGCGATATTTTATAAGGAAAACCGTATCGCATGATATCGATTTTAAGAAAAACCGCACAACCCTACCAACTGAATCGCTGATTTAATAAAGACTGGTCGTGATGTGGTGTTGAATTCATGAATTTGTTATATAACCTTTTTCTCATTTTGTTTTCATTTTCTTGCCATTATGTTCTTAAGCTGTCCAACAGCTTTTGATACAATATACATGTTTGTATATATAATAAAGTACCTGATCACAAAACTGATTTCTGTATTGAATTTGATAACATCGACAGATAACCAATTTCAATAGTTAGAAAACCCAATGGTTGAACCAGCACAGAATTTCACGGATCAACGTTGGAACCGTGCTTTAGTAAGATCGGAACCGTTACTCGGAGCTTCATAAATCTCAGCAAAAATGATCTGACTAATCGAAGAGTTTGGATAAGATCACAGACAAATTGAAGAAGATTACCTCAACCATAGTCCAATTATTATGCTTGAACGGAGCAATTGACAGAAATATATCAGAAAACCTGTCAATATTTTTCAGAACCATCTGATGAATTGGCTAATGCGGCACACGGTCCAAGGGAAGCAACTCTCATAAAAAATTTCGTTTAAAAACATTATCCAAGGGAGCTAAATCCTCCTGGCCTAGCGATGAACATTTCTGTTGCTGCTAGGCGCTATACTTTTACAAGGTATGAAAATAACGGGAATATTGATATGTTTCAATTGACAATGATATTAATTTTTAATATTACATTCCTAATTTCTCTAGACTGTTAATTTGTGTCTTAGTTGCAATTTTGTCTTCTGTATGTTTGTAAGAAAAAGCGATAAAAGCTATATTTACAAAACATTGTTTGTGTCAATATCCGAAAGTATTTTGCCCATAGAACATGTTTATTTTGTTCATCATCGTCGTCGTCGTCGTCGTCAGCATCAACATATGCTTCCTAAACCTCATCTGCAATATAATTTATTTTGTCGTCATTTTACCCAAACTAAGTTATAATACATCTGAAGTGCCTAAGTTCACCTGTGTCTCACTCAAACGTCGTAACATACTTACTTTTAGCATTAAAGGTTTCACGTAAGGTTTCATTTGTAAATGAAGAAAATTGTTGAAATCTATGATTGAAATTACGATTTCTCATAAGTTCATCCGAGGGAAAGAGTGATGCTCTAAGGGCAATCGGGAACCGTCGGCACTTTCCGTAAACGTAACGGAAAGTGCCGACGGTTCCCGTTTGGTCTCTGGGATTCATCCTCAAAAATATCAAGGTCTACGAATTTCCGAGTATCATCTGTCTGATGTCGGCGAACAAGCTAAAGCAAATGTTGCCCCACAGCCAATGAGCACAGTGGAAATGAGGTATACACCTATTTCGATACCATAAACACCATGACCTTTGATACGTCTGGATACCAGAAAAACTCTACGTCTTATAGCAAACATTATGAATTGATGTTTATTTATAAAACCCCAATCTTAACGAAAGAAAAACTGCACTTACATGTACATCGGAACGTTACAATCTGCTGATCATCTACGTTCCAAAAATATTTAAGCTGAAAAGCATGCCACAAGTAACACTTACTTTTCATATCTAGGAATGAAAGACGATTTTGATTTAACGACAACAGCAGGTTCAGTACGGGGTCCATGGTACAGAGTACATAGTATTGGATATCGGGAACAGGGTTCATGGTACATAGTAAGAGGTACCAGGTAGGGAGTACGGGGTACAGAGTTCATATTATGGGGTACCGGGTAGGGATTACAGGGTTTGTGGTACAGAGAACATAGTGTGGGGTACCGGGTAGGGAGTACGGGGTACAGAGTACATAGTACATAGAAAGGGGTACCGGGTAAGGAGTACTGGGTACAGAGTACATAGTAGATAGTATTGGATACCGGGAACAGGGTTCATTGTACATAGTCATAGAACATAGTATGGGGTACCAGGCTGGGAGTACGGGGTACAGAGTACATAGTATTGGATACCGGGAACAGGGTTCATGGTACATAGTATGGGGTACCGGGTAGGGAGTACGGGGTCCATGGTACAGAGTGCATAGTATTGGATACCGGGAACAGGGTTAATGGAACATAGTAAGGGGTACAGGGTAGGGATTACGGGGTACAGAGTACATAGTACATACTATGGGGTACCGGATAGGGATTACGGGGTCCATGGTACAGAGTACATAGTATTGGATACCGGGAACAGGGTTCATGGTACATAGTAAGGGGTACAGGGTAGGGATTACGGGGTACAGAGGTCGAGATACAGTGTCAGAGGTCGAGATACAGTGTACAGAGGTCGAGATACAGGGAACATGGTACAGAGGTCGAGATACAGGGAACATAGTACAGAGGTCGAGATACAGTGTACGGAGTACATGGTACAGAGGTGGAGATACAGGGTACGGAGTACATGGTAAAGAGGTCGAGATACAGGATACGGAGTACATGGTACAGAGGTCGAGATACAGGGTACGGAGTACATAGAACAGAGGTCGAGATACAGTGTACGGAGTACATGGTACAGAGGTCGATATACAGGGTACGGAGTACATGGTAAAGAGGTCGAGATACAGGGTACGGAGTACGGGATTCAGGGTACAGAGGTCGAGATACAGGGTACGGAGTACATGGTACAGAGGTCGAGATACAGGGTACGGAGAACATGGTACAGAGGTCGAGATACAGGGTACGGAGTACATGGTAAAGAGGTCGAGATACAGGGTACGGAGTACGGGATTCAGGGTACAGAGGTCGAGATACAGGGTACGGAGAACATGGTACGGAGGTCGAAATACAGGGTACGGAGTACGGGATTCAGGGTACAGAGGTGGAGATACAAGGTACAGAGGTCGAGATACAGGGTACGGAGTACATGGTACAGAGGTCGGGATACAGGGTACGTAGTACATGGTACAGAGGTCGAAATACAGGGTACGGAGTACCATAGGTCGAGATACAGGGTACAGAGTTGGGGAATAGGTCTAGATATAAGGTACAAGGTACATAGGTCAGGATACAGGGTACGGAGTACATGGTACAGAGGTCGAGATACAGTGTACGGAGTACATGGTACAGAGGTTGAGATACAGGGTACGGTATACATGGTACAGAGGTGGAGATACAGGGTACTGGGTGCAGAGGTGGATATACAGAGTACGGGGTACAGGATACAGTGACCGAGATACAAGGTACTGGGTGCAGAAGTCGAGATACAGGGTACAGAGATCGAAATACAAGGTACAGAGGTCGATATAAAGGGTACAGAGGTCGAGATACAGTGTACGGAGTACATGGTACAGAGGTCGCGATACAGGGTACTGGGTGCAGTATCCGAGAAGCAAGGTACAGAAACCGAGATACAAGGTACAGAGGTCGAGATACAGGGTACAGAGGTCGAGATACATGGTACAGAGGTCGAGATACAGGGTACTGGGTGCAGAAGTCGAGATACAAGGTACAGAGATCGAGATACAGGGAACATGGTACAGAGATCGAGATACAGGGAACATGGTACAGAGGTCGAGATACATGGTACAGAGGTCGAGATACAGGGAACATGGTACAGAGGTCGAGATACAGTGTACTGGGTGCAGAAGTCGAGATACAAGGTACAGAGGTCGCGATACATGGTACAGAGGTCGAAATACATGGTACAGAGGTCGAGATACATGGCACAGATATCGAGATACAGGGAACATGGTACAGAGGTCGAGATACAGTGTACTGGGTGCAGAAGTCGAGATACAAGGTACAGAGGTCGAGATACATGGTACAGAGGTCGAGATACATGGTACAAAGGTCGAGATACATGGTACAGAGATCGAGATACAGGGAACATGGTACAGAGGTCGAGATACATGTTACAGAGTCACGAGATACACGGTACAGAGGTCGAGATACAGGGTACAAAGGTCGAGATACAGGGTACAGAAGTCGAGATACAGGGTACGAGATATAGGGTACAGGGTACAGGGAACCAGAATCAGACAGGATAGCATTCTGCTTGCGAAAGACGAAACATGAATAACAATAGTGGCGTTGTACACATTTTCTCTTTAGTAAGAAAACAGCTATCTGATCCTTTTGTACGTCTTCCTTTTCAATGATCGTCTACTCCGTTTTACGGTTGGATAGAGTTTTTGATATCAACAGTAATTTCAAATTCAAAAATACACTTGTTATTCAAGTCACGAATTAAACTAAGCTGTTTCGGGATAAACACTTATAAAGACAAACATATACAGGTAAGAGAATACATAAAATTAAGTAAACTACATTTAAAGTTTAAACATATAGAATCTGTAAGCGTGATTATGTTGACAGACGTGTTAGTTTTGAAATTCGGTTCAAAGCTACGGTCTAAAGCAGTAACTGTTGTTGTTATTTGAACATCTACATGTACATTGTATATAGAGTTTCGAAACAGGAAACATCTTAATTGTTTCTGTAAAATTTAGAAGGTGTCATTGTTTTATTGCTTTCTGAGCTAGTGTACACCTGTTTGAATAAAATGGTTTTTGAAATACAATCAAGGTTGAAATACAGGAACGTTAAATACAACTTTCATTATAAATTATGTACAAAAACAAAATCGATAATTCTGAATTTAGTTTGGAATTCGTTTAAATCAAATTTCTTGATCTTTTTTTCCCTGACGGTAAATATGTAGTCTAAATCTACCCGTGCCCCCTAAAATAAGCCTTTTCGCACCTGTATACAGGTAAACATACGAACCCATTGATCCGAATATAGGTATCGCGTTTATGTATACCTGTAGTACAATGTCGTATATGTATACCTGTGTGTAGGTAGGTAGGGCCTATTCTTTACCTGGCAGTCGTCTGTCATATACGTGTACAGTATTGGTATATTGTACCTGTTAATTGTGATAGAACAGGTAGAAAATTTTCAGGTATGTAACGACTCCGGACAATATTTATAAGGTGTTTCACTGGAAGGTGAAGTGTGGAGTACTGCAGTGCCATTATTGTATTATGTTAATGTGTACAGCCCACCCCTACGGCTAGTGGAAGATTACGTTACATATATACCATACTCACACTAATATATTCCACATTGATTTAAAATATTCAACAGAGGAGAAAGTGTTGGTGTTATTTACCTGTTATAGAAAACACTGGGAGTGTACCGGGATAAATGACGACCGTCTAACAACTTTCGCCAAGGTAAGCACATTTTATCTTACATCAAAAGTAACGAACGATAACATAAAATCATAGTTTAAATGTCTTTAATGTCAGAGAGTGCTTACTGAATGTTATTAGAAAAATCAACCGTTAATATCGCCCCCTCCCCCCTACCCTTCCCTCCATGTGTACGAACATCCAAAGTATAATATGAACCCCCTTCTTACCATGTGTACGAACATCTAAGTATAATATGAACCCCCTTCCCTCCATGTGTACGAACATCTAAGTATAATATGAACCCCCTTCTAACCATGTATACGAACATCTAAGTATAATATGAACCCCCTTCTTACCATGTGTACGAACATCTAAGTATTATATGAACCCCCTTCTAACCATGTATACGAACATCTAAGTATAATATGAACTCCCTTCTTACCATGAGTACGAACATCCAAAGTATAACATGAACCCCCTTCTTACCAAGGGTACGAACATCTAAGTATAATATGCACCCCCTTCCCTCCATGTGTGCGAACATCCAAAGTATAATATTAACCCCCTTCTTACCATGTGCACGAACATCTAAGTATTATATGAACCCCCTTCTTTCCATGTGTACGAACATCCAAAATATAATATGAACCCCCTGCCCTCCATGCGTACGAACATCTAAGTATAATATAAACCCCCTTCTAACCATGTGTACGAACATCTAAGTATAATATGAACCCCCTTCTTACCATGTGTACGAACATCTAAATATAATATGAACCCCCTTCCCTCCATGCGTACGAACATCTAAGTATAATATGAACCCCCTTCTTACCATGTGAACGAACATCTAAATATAATATGAACCCCCTTCCCTCCATGCGTACGAACATCTAAGTATAATATGAACCCCCTTCCCTCCAGGTGTACGAACATCTAAGTATAATATGAACCCCCTTCCCTCCATGTGTACGGACATCTAAGTATAATATGAACCCCCTTCCCTCCATGTGTACGGACATCTAAGTATAATATGAACCCCCTTCCCTCCATGTGTACGAACATCTAAGTATAATATGAACCCCCATCCCTCCATGTGAACGAACATCAGAAGTATTATATGTGAAATGGTTTTGTTTAACATTTAGAAAATCAACATAACTGAAATTGTCTCCTACATTAGCCCCTTATTCCCCTCCATTAGCCCCTTATTCTGCTACATTAGCCCCTTATTCTCCTACATTAGCCCCTTATTCTCCTCCATTAGGAACTTATTCTCCTACATTAGCCCCTTATTCTCCTACATTAGCCCCTTATTCTCCTACATCAGCCCCTTATTCTCCTACATTAGCCCCTTATTCCATTATATCATCGAACAGGAATTAAACAGAAATGTCTGGTATCATTATCGGGGTATAGCTTTCCTTGTTCATTCTCAGGGGCTTGGGACATTTATTTAATCCTATCATTCTCAGGGGCTTGGGACATTTATTTAATCCTATCATTCTCAGGGGCTTGGGACATTTATTTAATCCTATCATTATCCAGAATACATATGTATTACGGTCGTGTGATATAATCTGCTTGTCACAAGCCTCTGTGGCGAAACCAACACTTTCAGAGTGTCTTTCAGTATGAAATGTACATTACAGTTTTTGAAAGAGACGTGAAATTGATTCACCAACAGCGATCACAATGCAGCTGAATGGGATTAACGATGAAAGCTGACTTTTGGGAAACTGAAAGAGACGCGTAATTGATTCACCAAGTTTGATAACAATGTAGCTATATGGGGTTAACGATGAAAACTGACTTTTGGGAAACTGAAAGAGACGCGAAATTGATTCACCAAATTTGATAACAATGTAGCTATAGGGGATTAACGATGAAAATTGACTTTTGGGAAACTGAAAGAGATGCGAAATTGATTCACCAACATTAAAAACAATGTAGCTGAATGGGACTAACGATGAAAACTTTTTAGGAGGCTTATTTATCTTTCGTTGACATCAGTTGGATTCTCGTAAGATATACATAGGTAATTGGTGTTTTTAAACTAAAAAAAAAAAAAAAAAAATACGTATAAAATGCCTTTAAATATAAGTTTCGTGTTTGGTATCCGTTATAACAACTCCGAGATATAAGAATTAACTAGAGGCGTCTCTCAGAAACCTTAGATTTCAAAGATGCAGTTATTAGAAAGGACGAAAGATGACAATACTTTGACGGCGACAGGTTGCAGGGTAAAATATCAAAACGTCGTTCCGCTAGATAATGACATTACACAGAATTCAATGTTTAAATGTTTTATAAATTATCAAATGATGAATGGAGTATCACAGCGACACATGTGCTTTACGAAGCTATACGTCACACTAACAAGTAGTTTACTCACAGAAAAGGTAAACACGAAAACAAACTAATTATATTTATATCTATGTACCAGACTACCTACCTTTACAACCAGAGAGTACAAAAACACATCAAAGACATAATTCTCTTTAACATCTTGAGCGAGATATCGTTTTGTCAATTTCTGGTTTTTTTCTGTGTATTACATCCCGTGTATAAAGCCTTTTGTACGCTATTTTAATCACAACATGAAATCTATAAATAGTCTGCCCTCTGTTCGTTGTATTTTTCTACACTAGTCTGTAAAAGTCTGCCAATATAACTTATATAATTACCTACAAGGTATTGTACATTATGTATCTACATACATGTAGTGTATATGTGGAAATTTAAAACCTCGTATTTAAAAAAAATCAACATTTTAAAGACTTTATGTCAATGGCTAGGATTCGACTGTATCACGAGTTTCAAATAAAATTTTAGCAATTAGTCATGAAGTACAAGTCTCCAGATTTCCAAGATTATTTCATTAGTTTTATGTAGCAAAATGTACAAAAAAAACATTCGAAAAAGATCTGAATGGATAAATGGTCGTAGGCACAGGGACCTGAAAATTGTTACTATATTTGGACCTAAGCTAATTAAGGTATTCAAAGTAATTTTACACGAAAAAAACAAATCCTAGCATTTTTACCGAAAATTAATCTTACCCCTGAAACGTGTAAAATTACTCTAAACACCTTACAATGTAGATTAGGTCCAGATATAGTTTTAGCGAATTCTCAGGTCCCTGTGGTCGTAAGGTGCGTGTGTAGGGCGGGGAGGAGGTACAGAGAGGGGTCGGGAGGGTGTGATTGTGGGCGTGGCAGAGGGTGTTTGGTAAGTCCCCGAGTCGTGAGAAAGGATTGACGTAGGACGTTCGACCCTGTCTGCGCTGGGAGGGTTATTGGCTCTTGGGGTCCCAGGTTAGGACACAGGAACCCGATATTTATAACAGTAACTATGTTAGGACACTAAATGATGTGTCCAGAGAAGCTAGACGAATACTTGGTAAACAGGGCCTACACCCTCCTCCTCCCCCTCCTCCTCCTCCTCCTCCTCCCCCTTTCCCTTCCACAAAGGCGGTATATACTTGAAGGATGGAAAACTCTCGCTCGATGTCAAAGATTGACCCCATCTAATTCTGTCTCATCAAAACTCACATTTCTAGTAGATAAACAAGATAAAAGCTTCCACCAGTGGAAAGGTATTTACTGATTGTGTTCACAACCCTCGTGTATCACAACCCTCGTGTATCAAAACCCTCGTGTTCACAACCCTCGTGTATCCGCGTAAAATGGGTTCTCCTTTTAGCAGACGTCGAGTCTGTTTTCTTCGAAATCACACGCGATTTCTAGGTTTCAAATTTTTCCGTAGTCAAACTTTCGCTTTTCCCATACTGAAAAGGTTGACGTAACTGCTGTGACGAATTCTCAGGTCCCTGTGCGGGACAAGGGTAGTGGTGTTTCTAAAATCCTCTTTGCATTCATCGGTTTAAATGAGATTTTCTTTTCACGGTTGGACGTCTGTACTTTATAAAAGGTCTTATTCTTATCATGTTTATCTTGTCTTTATAAAAAGTCTTATTCTAATCATGTTTATCTTGTCTTTATAAAAAAGTCTACACAAATAAAACTATTCTAAATGGGTGCAATACATATTAGAAAATTGATATTTTACTGCCCGTGTGTTGCATATAACCTGTAATTCGTTACAATCATGGCGACGCCACAGACACGAAATTAATTTTGTGACAAAATCTGGCTACTATTTATTTCCAAGCTTTCTGTAAAATGTATCTCCGTAGATCAAATCGTTATTAACGACTTTATTCATTCATTCGTTCATTTGTATCATTTTTATTGGAATATTAAGACGAAATCTGGTTAATGTATAAAAAATCTGCCAATGTCTTGAAACATTTCAAACTAAGGTGTTTCAGCTTGGGGGTCGCGGTTGCAAAGTGGTTTAGGCGTCTGACATTCTGCTACCAATAGCCCTCCACCACTTGGTCGCGGGTACGAGACCTATGTGGGACAGTCGCCACGTACTTCCGCAGGTCGTGGTTTTTTCCGGGAACTCCGGTTTTCCTCCACCACCAAAACCTGGCACGTCCTTAAATGACAATAGCTGTTAATAGGACGTAAAACACAAACAAACAAACCAAGTAATTCAGCTAGTCATGTATCTAGGTAAGAAATGGACGCATGTTTAAGTGCACTGTTTGCAGTTAGGTTACATCGAACTGTCTCACTCGTGAATCGAACAAAGATCAAAGGCTCGGGGCAACTAAACCGTCTTCCTTTCCGCTTAAAACAAGGGGGCTTTGTCAATAAATACAGATAACGATTTGCGTTTTTAAAAGGAATGTATATCTTCTTCTTCAAGAATACCTAATGATAGTGTCTGTTCATGTGAAATTCCTTAACATACTAAGGCATTGTACAGGTATACGCCTGGTTTTACCTGTACAGGTAGACTAGTACCTGTGTCACGTCTACATGCACCGGAGAACCTGTTTGTTGCAGACATTTCTACTAATACACGCGTTCTGCAAGTTAAGCAGAACGCTTTTAATCCTGCCAATCTCATTATGAAGTAATATTCGTAATCGTCTTTTGATCTCGGCTGAAACGTTTTCTGTAACATAA